GGGTTTAAAGATTTTAAAGGGCTTAGTAAGAGTTACAGTCAATTGGACTTTTCAACTTGAACTGGAAAACAGTGCTGCCCTTTGGGCTAAAGAAGTGGTTGCCAGTAGCCAATCAAGCCCTAATGCTGAAGATAAAATTGTTAATGCAGACACATCACTTTGGCCCACCAACAGGTTTTAGTAATGGATGGAAATGTGGCTACCTAAATTCCCTACGTAACATTTTCCAGGGAGGCCAAACTAGTTTTGTTCCAAACCTATTTATGCTCTGAATGCAATTATGTTATGCACCAAGAACATTAGGCCATTTGTATCACTCAATTAGCTCAACATTCTGACACGTCTTTTTATAAACATGGTGTTGGCTCATCTCCGGGAACATCTAGTGGATCATTCCATCGCTGCTCAGGGAGAGAACAATAGAAACACCGAATAATAAAAATTGCAGACTGCTTGGTAAAGTGCTTGCAACAATCCAGATCTCAGTTTTCCTCTCACACTTGTGCACCTCCATTATTTCTGATAATATATTCCAATTTAAACCAACGTAGGAGAAGTCCTAGGCCCACTTAAATAAGACGTATCAATTCCTAAAAAGCTATTGTAATGTACTAGCTAGTCTTCAAGGGTTACATATTCCCAAGTGATTTGGGAGCTGAAATCCTAGCATCTCGGGCCAAATCTACAATGCTATTCAGACACCCAAGTGCACAGACAAGTGCCTTCAGGGGTTAACAAAAGTTCCTAAACAGGCCTCAAATTCCCATTGAAGTTAATGAAGCAGCTCAGACTTCAATGGTCAGCACAACCCTGCTCAGACCTCTCTGTAAGTATTCAGGCAACTAGCCAGCACCGAGCTCCATGTTGCTACAGTCATTTTGCTACTGGTACCAGAGGGCATTTATACATGTGCTCTGGGAGTGGGAGGGAGGGGGCACTTTAGTTAGAGTGGCTCCGAGAGCTGTTCTGATTAAAGTGCCAGAGCATCTCATGTATCAGCACCCCCACGCTTAAGAATAGTGTCAGGGGCACTTTAACTAAAGCTCATTGAACAAGCTTTAGTTAAAGTGCCTCCACTGCCATTTTTAAGCATGGGGATGGTGCTATACAAGATGCTGGAGTCTGCTGGAGTGCGGTAATTACCACACTCCAGCAGACTTGATTAATCGAGTCTACTCCAACACTCTGTAATTACAACACATCGGAACAGTCTCCCTGCTCGTGTATAGGTGCCCAGAATTAGCAAGATAAAAGTTAGTATGGACTGGATTGGCTGCAATTGTGCTTCATTGCAGACATACCTTAATTTAAAAAGAAAGGTGATTAATCTTGGAGATTCATAACTAGCCGGCAGAGACACCATTTCTCTTTTATTCACATACCTGAAGTTTAACACTGTACATTGTCACCATTATAACTTGCCTATCATAAGACCAAGAAAGCTATTGGATAGGCATGAATGTATCAGTTAAGACCACCAATCAACTGAAAAGGACTAGAAAACATAAAGTGGCTTAGGTCTGTATGGGAGGAGAGAATCATTGCCAACAAAGACTTAGCAAAAGGAATCTGGTTTCAATTTGTAACTAATTGTTTGCCTTCCACAGTGTGTGGTATAGTCATTCAGATGAAAATCTTAGTGTTGCATGAGCCAGTTCTGTAATTCTGTCAGTTTTCAGTAACTGAAGGACTAGAAAACATAAATGTCTAGCATTTAAGTTGCCCCAATGTGGCATTGGTATGAAGGTTTTTTCTCCCCAGTACCTATTATGAAGCAAAAATGTTTCCAAAACAAACTAAACAAAATACCATGTATGAAAACTGTGAAGGCAGCTGAGTTTTCCATTTTTAATCTCTGCCAAAGAATCGGCTTCTCAGAGTACTCTGGAGGGTAGGGCTTACTAACAATTCAGCTCTAATTCTTTTGGCTCTCTGTTGCTAGCATCATGTTACATACTTTAATATAAAAGAAGCTGTTGTTTTGATTAAACAAGAATCCATCATGTATTCTTAAAAAGGGAGAGGAAACAAATGCAGTTCTCAGGATGCCAAATCTCACAACCTCCCAAATATACTTAACAGCAAGGAGGTCTATCCCAGGGAACAGAAGTGAGCAACCGGTAGGCCAGTGGAAAAAAGTAAGGCATAGATAGCAACATCTCATCTCAAAACAACCCAGAAAAATGAAAGTGCAAAATGCAAAAGAAATCAGGGCTGAAGTCAAATGAGTGCTCTTCACAAAGCAAAACAAAAATTGGTTTTTTTTCCCTATTGCATCAAACCTTTTATAATCATTTATACCAGTGCAGACTGGGTGTGAAATCCTATCATTCTAATTTCTAGCACTTTACAGCTACTTTATGCAGGTGTAAACAACCCAAACAACTATGCATAGTGGGCACATCTATAAAAGATGCTTAATGCACAGTAGAATGCCAGCAAAAACCGTGCTAATACTAAAGGGACTAAAAAAAGTCACTAAAAAACCGTGTACTGGTGCTACAGCACAGTAACTATAGTTACTGAGCATTTAGTTAGTACTCCATTAAGCAAGTACTAAACTAGATATGCAGCAACTTACTGTGCATTAATGAGCATGTAGATGTGCCCAGTGAAAAGCAACAAAGAGTAAAACTCATGGTATGTTCCATGAAAACCTAGCACCCCCCTGACTCTGTGAAAATTCCCTTGGGTACAGCCTTCTAAATACAAGTTAAAAAAGAAGAGCAATAAAATATACTCTAGAGAGTTTTATTTAACTGTCTTCCTTCTTACCTTTTCACACTCAGCAGCACATTTGGTCTATATATCCTGTCCTTGGTGGGCTATCAACTATTTTTTATTCCTCTTCTTTCTGTTTCAGTCTGTCTTGGGGTGTATATACCACTTCCACAGTGCTCATAAGAGCATAGCCAGAAAGCACACCCTACCCCTCTTTTCCTGCCAAACCTGGAAAAGAAGTAACAAAGCTACCCTGACGATGCTTTTCATCACCACTCTTGAGATCTCTGTCTCCTGTGTACTTTTGAATGGTGGCATGAGGCTACTCTCCTGTGGCTGCATTGCCTTGTTTCAAGGTTTGGCACATACATGAATGTGGCATGTTTTTCAGATGCTTTCTTAGGAGTGCTACAGAAGCAGCATAGATGTACCCTAAAGGATACGTAAAAGACTATTCAGCCACAATCAAATGAAGAGGTTCAGCATCACAAATGAGCTATTCCAATATCTATGTATTTGTCTTCTTAGTACAGTAAAATGAAAGATGTCTGTGTTTTGGGGTTATGAACTTTTATACCTAACTGTGCTTTCCATAACTATCAGCATATATATTTATATATTTAATCTTGCAGCCCCTAGACAAAGGAATTCCTCCAGCCACTAGACAAAAGCAAGAAAGATCTTCCCATCAGTCCCACACAGATTATTGTTCAAGGCAAGCCACATGCAATGCACAGAGTGCACAGATTCTAGGGGGAGGCAACATCCCACACAGGAAGGTGATGCCAAGGTACTGTTTTCCAAAGAAAATGAGTAGAAGCCATATGCCAGCCCCCCACCAAGTTGTAATCTTCTTACCACAAACTCTGTACATGTCACCAGACTTTTGCAAGTGAAGTAAATGCTACCTGTAGTAAGAAATCATAAGCTACACATCACAAACTGATTACGCTGGGCCAAGCTTCCATCCCCAGGCCATCTGAGGGGTGTGGGGCCAGTCCAAGGCACAGATCCTGTGCATGGGGTCAGTTCACAGGCCAGATCCAGTGCAGGGTCAGTCTCTGGGGGCACCCCGGCATGCCAGCCCAGCCCCATGTGTCTCATCCAGCCAAAAACCAGCCCTGGAACCTGTGGCAATTAATGTTGCCTTTCCCCAATTGCTAAATTTCCAGGTCCACAAGTTGCTCCATGAACCAGCTGACATAGCTCTGTGGGCCACATTCAGTCCACGGGCTGGAAATTAAGCACCACTGTACTGGGTGGTCCAGCTTTACTTCACTAACCTCTTTTTATTTTCTGTCATTTCTCCAATGTCATGTGTTTCATGATTAGCATTATTATTTGTTTTATGTTATTGTTTATTTTAAGGGTGATTTATTTTACAGCTAGCATCACAATTTAAATGAAGATGCTATAATATACGGAATATTTCTTGTACAAAATTACATTTAGAGATTTGTTAATTTAAATAAACATATTTATCAAAAAGTCCTAATTGCTTGGCCCCAATGATAGTTGCACATTTAAGAATTCACAGGAAAATAAACATGCTATCATCACCCAAGCAAAGCTAATGTCTGTCAATCACTTCTGACTTCACTGTAAACTCCCCAACCCGTAATGAGACATGAAGAATAATTGCACAACTGTGGTGTCTTTTTAGGAATGAATGCTTTCTACTGTGGCAATACAGGATAGATGGGATGTATGGAATAGGAAGGATGGGGTGCTGTCATCCTCTCAGATATTGCTAATGGTATTAATAGGTGAATACTGCAACAGTCATACTCCACAGTTGTCAGGTAGCTCTTCTTCAGAAGATCATTGAACTTGTAGATATGTCTCCATCTCCCTTTAGGATTCATTGAAAGCCCATTGACAGGAACAGAAAGATTTTCATTTACTTGGATCAAGCCCTTTGCGTGTGAAACTATTCCCCTCTTCACCTTCAAATCCTTCCATAGGCTCATTTTTTCTGCTTCCACCTCAAATTTTCATCTAGAATCTAACAGGTTCTCAGTTTTCCACAAGAGACAATTTGCATGGAAGGATGGTGCTCAATGGGGGAACAGGAAAAAATGCTGTTATTTGAAATGGGGAGAGAAAAAGTGCAAGAAACTAAAGGAGAAGGGGTTAAGAACAGACCGGGTTCAAAAGTATGTATGAATTCTGTTTTGATGATTTCATGATGTCTTCTGAGGAAACCTGACTGATGCAATTTTGCCTTTCTTTGGATAATAGCCAAACCTGACCTGTTTGGATTTTGTTTTTCATTGCAGAAATGCCAAGAAGGATTTTACCGTGCTACTTCAGGAGAATGCTCCCCTTGTAACTGTAATGGCAACACAAACAAGTGCCTTGATGGATCTGGAATCTGTGTGGTAAGTTGAGTCCAGAGACCCCACATTCCAGACTAGTCCCCTACTTTCATCTATAAATATGTTTATTTCACCTGTAAACACAGATTATATTTTGAGTGAAACAATAGACCCTTAGCTTTTATTCCTTCACATTCAAATGAAACAGTACAGGGGTTGTCAACCCGCTGGATGCAGTGGGTGGGGAGTGGGAGGCAAGGGAAGCTCTCACACAGCGGCTGCTGCCACTTAGTGTCCAGCCACTCGCCAACCCCCCATGCTCCACCCCCCACACTCAGCATCCGGCTGCATGCTCCCTCAGGCTCAGTGTCCAGCCATGCTCTATGCCCCACCCTTGGCATCTGGCCGTATACCCACCCCCACCCCTACTCGGCAGCCGGGGATACACTGCTCTGCATCTGGCCACCGGAGGGCACAATGATGCAAAAATGTTGAAAACCCCTGAAATAGTATATGCATGGATGAAATACCCTTAAGGAAAACCCAGGTTACTGTAGGTCACAATGTCGAGTCTCCCATCACCATGTCCACGTCCAGATGAGCATGCACATACGGTATGTGGCACCACAGACCTCTCTGTAGCACCACACACTGCACATGCAGGCATTCCCCATGCTGCTGCCTTGCAGCAGGGGGGTGCTGGGAGATCCTAAGGTCAAAAAAACACACACCAAAAAATTGGGCGGCGCACATGGCGACAGCATGCACCACCCAAGACCAGAGCCTGGCTGGCCAGAGCCTCATTTCAGCTGCCATCCAGGCTCCCAGCTGCAGGAGCACTACAGCTGCAGCTCCCCAAGGTCCCCAGGACCCCAGTCTCACCTATCACACCCGTGGTAACCTGCCACATGCCAGAGCACATATGGCATAGGCATTCCCCAGGGACAAGTAGTAGTGTACAAGGTGTGCCCCCAGGAAACAAACATCCACACTTATCTGGATGCAACCCATAAGTACTGGATCCCAGTACACCACCATAGCAGTAGGTGTAATGTGTTTCCAGGGAGACTTCCTTCTGAATAACATTTAAAGCCAAGGTCATGATGACATGCGTTCATTAAAGATCCCAAAATGACAGGGTTGTTCTGTTAACCATAATTTCCCAACAAAATGTCAATGCAGGTAATTCTATACTGTCTACCAAAATTATCTTGGCAGTCTCAAAAAACACAAAATATCCTTCACTTCCTACCCTGAAGTGATGTTCTGTGTTTGTGTGAGTCATTAAACAGTCCTCACATTTCACCTGAAAGGTGAAACAAATCCTAGAGGGGAAGAGTTTATGATAAGTCTGCAAATGGAGAAAGAGCTTTGGGATTCATCATGAAAAGGGCATATAAATGTGAATTCATTTCATTCTCCTTTTTACTGTACACTGCTGTATATCATACAAACAGCCTGTGACTGTAAGTGACCTCTAAGTGTGTACATACATGTGTTATCTATAGCAGTTCTGCCTCACAATTCACAGCAGCCAGCTTCCTGCTGCAGCCTAACGATGATAGGAGGTTGAAATAATATACTGAGGAAAGAATGTGTTTGAATTCCAGGGTAACGTTATAGCCTGCCATATGCGCTGTCTCACTCATTATCAGCTAAGATGGAATACTGTGGGTTCACATTAGTACGCTATCATTTGAATCTGGGGAATAAAAGTCAGAGCAGTGAAAGCACCATCATACTAACAGACAATCAAAGGAATAAAATTCCCATAGTGCTAACAAAGGTGGTGAAGGGGGATTTATGCTGTACAATATTGAAAGGTATAGCCATACAAACAATTTACTGCAGCAAAAAAGGGAGCAGGATTTTACTGCATGTTCCATGGTAACTGTCTATGTGCTTGTTTGTACCCAATGGTAAATATAAGCTAAAACATGACAGTGTACCTCATTTTATTGAGGGCTAAGCCACCAGAGTAGTTATGATAGGGACCATTCACAGAACTATTTTCTGTGAAGCAGCTTAACACAGTAAAGTCATGTCCCCTTTTCCCTGCTAGATAATACAGAGTACTATCTAGAGCTCCTATGAGTCAGAAATAAAACTCTCTCCTACTGATTTACTCTGTCACTTCTGACAGGTCAAGTAACCCCTCTGTGCCTCAGTTGATCTAGCTGCAAAATAGAATAATAAAATTTACCTAGTGTTGTAGGTCTCAATTTATACTTGGAAAGTACTCTCAGATCACCTAATAAAGGATGCCGCTACATACCAGTACATTTGCAACATTGTAGTTTATGTCAGATACATTGACTATTATTAAACTGCTGACAAAAGCAACATGTGCTCAGTAATGGAAACCATCTATGAAGTTGGCTAAATGCAGCCAACACTAAGCATGACCATGGAGCACTGGTCCAGAGGCATTGCAATACCAGGCTGGCATGTGGAAAGCCTGGAGCAAGCTCCAACAACCACCTCCAGAACCAAAAATGCTGATTTGAACCCACCACAATGACAGACCAATGTACTCTAGCAGAATAATCTATATAATAATGCCCATTGCCCAACTTTTTTTTAAGTCATGGTGAGTCACTACATTAAATACATTTTTTACTTCCTCTTCTTTCCCACAGTTGAGCTGTGCCTTTTTTCCCATTTCCAATTACTCCTGTTTTTTCATCAGCCTTAAATGTGTGGCAAACATCACCAAATGGGGCCCCAAACAGTTCTTCTAGAATCCCTCTGTTACCCTTGCTCTTGGCCTGTCATATATGATTAGTGTGGTCTCATCCTCCATGAGGTGGAGCCAGACCAGGTTACCCTGTACTTCATCTACATATACATTTTTGGAGGATCCCAGGACTCATGACACTAATGCCCTGTTTCAGTCATGAGTGGGGAGCTAATTAGCATATGGATCCTTTTGGGGAGGGGAGGGTATCTGGAGTACACACACATACTGAGCAGTGCTGAGCTAAGGAGTCACCATGGCTTGAAATGCTATTGCCTTTGCTGGGACCTAGCCCAATGAACGATGGTAAATAATGAGCTATTTGGCTTTGAACTAATATCATGCATAGTTTGTACTGCATAGAAGTAGGTACAAAAGTTCTTCTTAAAAGTGTGTGTATGGACTACCTGTGCTAAAACTTGCAGCAGCTTCAAAAAAATTTAAAATGCATCAATTCTGGATTCACTAAGTCTATGAGTACCCAAATGGCTTTATGCAAATTAATATAGCTGTGTTTATTACAAAGTCGGTGTTTTCAGATTTGGCCATCATTCCCACGTACTCAGGGAGAGTAGGGTCTGACAGTAAGTAGGGGTAAGGGGCTTCAGGAAGAAGAAGTTGAGGGGACAGAGGGCAAGGGACCCACCTGACCCCCACTCCCCTCCCCTGATTTATTTTCCCTGCTGTAGCAATGGTAGGGGGACAAATTCAAGGCAAGCCTCCAATAATAGGATTCTATATGTGGAAAAGTATAACAAATCTATATATTTTCCATATATAGAATCTACTTATGGGGCCCGTCCTATATTTGGCATCATCTTATACTTGAGTAAATATGGTAAGTGGTTTTAGTAGTTGCCATTCTCTGCAAAAAAGTATGGCACTCATTGAGGGTGGGAAAAAAATGAATAAGGTTGATTGCTGCTGAAAGTAATCTGGAAACATAGGGTCCAAATGTACTGTGACCTATAGTATTTTTAAAGATAATTAGATTCAACTGGAATGAGCAATTTCACTCAGAGTTAAATCCCAATGTATTCTGTCAGTCTGTATCAGTCGTTAGCTCAGCAAAGTAAGAAGATCCTGGAGGAAAGAGGATAGTGGGGAGGACAAAATTAGGTAAATTGGAGAAAAAGGATTTGATGAAAAGAGAGGGCAGATTGGAAGGATTTGGAAGAGGCTAGGAAGAGAAGAACATGAGGCTAGGACAGGAGTCATATGGACTGCAGGGAGTAAGAGTGTTTCAGAAAGAAAGAATGATTTAAGTTACAGGCAAGGATTCCTTAGGATGATAAATTGGTCCAATTAAATATATTGCCCTAGGAAATCCTTGCCTCTTGAATAATTCCTGTACCATCACAGCTACAATATCACTCTAACAGGATTCAAGTTAGGAAAAGGTGAAAGAATGAAAGGAATTACTTAGACATTGGTCAGGCCACAGTTGGAGTACTGTGTCCAGTTCTGGGTGCCGCACTTCAGGAGGGATGTGGACAGCATCAAGAGGGTCCAGAGGAGGGCCACGCGCATGATTAGGGGGCAGCAGGGCAGGCCCTATGAAGAGAGGCTAAGGGACCTGAACCTCCACAAGAGAAGGCTGAGAGGGGATCTGGTGGCCACCTATAAACTTGCCAAGGAGGACCAGCAGGAAATGGAAGAGTCCCTGTTCCCCCAAGCACTACCAGGGGTAACAAGGAACAATGGCCACAAGTTGACTGAGAGTAGATTCAGGCTAGATATCAGGAGGCACTACTTCTCAGGGCGGCTAGGATCTGGAACCAACTTCCAAGGGAAGTGGTGCTCACCCCTACCCTGGGGGTCTTCAAAAAGAGGCTAGACAGCCACCTAGCTGGGGTCATTTGACCCCAGCATCCTTTCCTGCTCATGGCAGGGGGGCAGACTAGATGATCTGTTTAGGTCCCTTCTGACCATATCAACAGGTCCATCATCTTAGCCACTGCCCTCGCTGCCCTCAGCAAAAATAAAAGTCAGCACCTATGTATGTTGCCATGAAACAGCAATTTTTTTATACACTTCAGCACAGTCTACAATTCAGCATTACCTGCCATAGCATACTAAACTTGCTTAGTAGGTCTGTACTCTGTCCAGACAGCTGCAGGTACATGTGTAAGGCTGGGCAAGTCCTGAAATTTTAGTCAGGCAAAAGCACCAGAAAAAGAAGAAGGGTCTAAGCCTCCTCGTTAGGGCTCTTGCCAAGGGAGCAGGAGACCCATGCTCTAGATCCCCTCACCAGGAGAGTATTTGAACTTGCGTTTCAGGGAAGTGCTCTCTAATCACCAGACTATGGATGAAGCATTACCCAAAG